GTCTTAAAGTTTCTGATATTTTTTGCACTTACAGTAAGTATTAAAAGTAAAAGTATTGATTTAAAATAAGCAGTTAGATTTTCTGTAAGGACTTTATTAGGAGGAGACCTCCCCCCAAAACTTTAGAAATGACTATATCTTATTAAAATTATTAATTGATGTTAAATTTAGGATGCACTAGTCTGGCTCTTTCAGTTTATAAACATATATCAAGGCTGCACAAAGCTTTTCCCCAAAATAAAAATCTGTCTGAGGGCTGCAGCCAAATGAAATAATATAATTCATGAAATACAAATACTTCTTAAGTACAGTACTTTTATTTTGACATGATTTGTTTGTGTACAAACTATTACGGTATCAGAATTTTATATGTTTGTACTTCTCATTCAACCAGCTAAATTTACTCTATCTAGGAGGAACAGCTTATATGGAAAGTGTTTTTCTTTTTTTTACAAGCTGGAATGAAAACAAGCAAAAATGAAATAAAAGTAACAACTTACTACTTCTTGTCTTTTTTAAGAATGTAAGGAGTAGAAAGTACAGATAATTGTGTGAAAATATAAGAAATAGAAGTAAAAAGTAGGCTGAAAAATAATTACTCAAGTAAAGTACAGATACCCAAAAATTCTACTTAAGTACAGTAAAGAAGTATTTGTACTTAGTTACTTTACAACTCTGATCACATATTTGCATACAAATTGTTTTCTGTTGTGAGTATAAAAAACAAAAAAACATATTTTTGTGTTGTGCTTCGTCACATTTTCAAAGAGCCGGATGTGACCACAGAGCTGCAGGTTGCAGACCCCTTCGTTAAGGTGTCAAAACAAACACGTGTAATGCCTTTTTTTCTCCCAAAAAAAACTTTAACCCTAAAAACAGACAACTTTCTCACACTGACATCTTAAAGCAAACCAAGATGGTGCTGGAGCTTTTACCAGGAATATATGTTAACAGCAATTTCTTTTCTCAGTGTGGTTTCCAGGCACTTAAATGAGTCTAATGTGCTTCACACACATTTACTAACAGAGAGGAAACAGTCCTCAACCAAATGAGCTGAAAAGACAACAACAAACAGGAGCTGACTGAACCTGAAACAATCCTCTGAAGGTCTAGACATAATAAATTTGGAGGTCTGCAGATTTAAAAAAATCTCCAAATCACTGGTGGTTGCTCAGTTTGAAACATGTTTCCTGCAAAGCTAAGATCATATCTGCTTGAGTTAGTCACAACCAGTGGTGGGCACCAGCCCGCTAAAGCACAAATCTGCTAACTACAGACTTAAATATTTTGTTTGCGCTTTAGCAGTCTTATTAATTTTTATGATTCATAAGCAAATTTGCGCTTTCTAGAATTGAAATGCAGTACCACTAACAACTAATTATCTACCAACCATCATCTTTGACAGAAGGTATGGCTGTCAATGAATCACAACACGTGATCTATCCTACAGCTCCCCTACCAGATAAACACACATATTGGAAACGTATACATCCTCGCTGACAGTTGCTTTGGGCCATGGTTCTCATTTCCCACAATGCTTTGTGTCTGCTTACGTAGCAGGAAGGCAATGTTTAGAACTCCCTTTCCCAGCAAAAACAGTWAACGTTTGTAATCCATAATAAAATTTTGTATGTATTGATTTATTTTACTTTATAATCGGAGCTCCTTTTTTAAAAAAAAGTTTAAACACTGGAGCTCAATACTTGATGTAATTGGTCGAAGCAATCTGCCAACGGGGTTAGACAGACATCTAGTGGTCAACTGAGGAACTACATGGAAAACTTTTTCCCGTCACAAATCAAATCTGTCATGTACCCATAATGCTTCGCTTCAAGTTTCCAGTAAACAGTTTTAAAATTACTTTATTGATGCTTCTTTAATAAAAAAAATCTACAACAAACAAAAGAAAACACAAAGAAGCAGCCGAACTAGCAATCCTCAACAACTTTTTAATTTTTACACCAGGAGCCAAAGTTCTGTTTCAGGAAATCACATCCCCACCAATCAGCGGTTGTAGGATTAAGCTTTAAAAGAGTTCATGCACCACTAGTTGGCAGTGTTGTGCATATATTGTATATTATTGTTGCCAGCTATTAAGTGCCAAATTGAACTTGCGCTTTAAAATTAGCTTCCACTAGTTTTTCTGCACTGTTGCCAACTTAGTGACTTTGTCACTAGATCTAGCGACTTCTTTTCCAAAAAGCGAATAGTGACTAATCTAGTAACTTTTCTCTGTGTTTTAGAGACTTTTAGGAGCTTTGGCGACAAAATTTTCCAAGCACTTTTTTCCTTTCCTCCTCCGCTCCTCCGCAAGCAGCGAGCGGTGCAGTAAGCCCCTCCCCCTTCCTAAAGCCTTCTGACTCACTGAAACCTAGTACAGCACACCCCAACCCCTGGCCCCACCCCCGGCTGAAGTCAGCTGATAGGAGACCGCTGCAAATGAACCACACATGTGCAAAACTGCTACTGCTTCTGTCTGGTTTACAAAGCGGGATGTAATATTTATTGTAATGTTTTTCTCTGATACTGTCTCTGTAAACTAAATCTCTGGACCCAGCTGTGTTTGACTCACAGATCAGCTTCACCTCTTCCTCCCTGTGCCTGGTGACATCTAACAGTCTGCAGATTAAATTTAAGATTCCCACAAATTTAATTTATGTGGATCTAAGCATTGAAGCATTGAACTATGCAAATTAAGTGATGACGTCATCTAGCAACTTTTAGGACAGCCAATAGGGACTTTTCTTGCTCAGGAGTTGGCAACACTGTTTTTCTGTGGCATAAGCATTTTTGAAGTTGCAGACCTAAATATTTTCATAAGCGTTTTAGAAATTGCGGAGCTAATTTTTGGGTTAGCGCTGCCCACTACTGGTCACAACAAAGAAAGTGTCATAGGTTTGAGTCTTATTCTCATTGCCCTTCTTGCTGTTACAGGATGACAAATGGCATTGATGGGAATGATGATGAAGACGAGGCCGATGGAGAAGAAGAGGAAGGAAGAGATGAAAAAGAGGGACACACTAATTTGGACACTTTCAGTTCGAACTTTGAGACGACCGTCGAGCAGGCCGACACTGAGGTGGAGGAGGAGGAGGAGGAGGAAAATGCCCAGAGAGATGGAGATGAAAGAGAAAACCAGGACAGCTTCAGCTCAGCGTTCGAGCAGATCGTCGAGCAGGTTGATGTTCAGGAAGATGAGGAGGAGGAGGGGGAGGAGGAGGAGGAGGAGGAGAAGGAGAAAAGCAAGGTAGTGGACAATAAGGACGGCTTCAGCTCCACGTTTGAGCGCATCGTGGAGTCTGCGCTGCTGAGGGGCGGCACGTGTTACAGCAGCCTGGACTCTCTGGACGTGCTGTCGCTCACGGATGAGACGGACAGCTGCGTCAGCTTCGAGGCGCCGCTGACACCACTCATCCAACAGAGGGCGCTGTTTCAGGGGCCCGAACCGCTAGAACTGGAACTGGCAACAGTTCAGGAGCAAGATGGGGCTGAGGCTGGTCCTGATGCCTTAGATGGTGATGCTATGACTGGGCAGAGCCCTGTCCGCGGAGCTGGAGCAGGAGCTGGGGCAGGAGGGAGTCCGTTAAGGACAACCATAACAGGGAGCAGGTCGGAGTTTGTGTTGAGCCAACCTGGACACTGGGCTATCCCGAATGGATACCATTCAGAGTCCCAAGCTGTCAGGGATGGCTCTGAATCCATGATCAGCTCTGTCAGGTAAGGATGATGCAAATAACAGTTTGCATTAACTTAAAGGGGACATATCACGCAAAATCCACTTTTTCAGCAGTTAAATACATTTTGATGTGGTTTCTAGGAGTGCAGAAAAGTTTAATTTAGTCTCACCTGGTGCTGCAAAGACATCTCTGTTTTCTGTTTGGGTCATATTTTTCAGCCTGTTCAGTTTTCTCCATTTCCTATGACATTTTCTGAACTTACATCAAACTGTTTGTGATGGAATTACAAAATACAGTTAGTACTTACAATGAAGAGGAGCCAGTTGAGGTGGTTCATCTGGTTAGGATGCCTCCTGGACGCCTCCCTGGTGAGGTGTTCCAGGGACGTCCCACTGGGAGGAGACCCAGAGGAAGACTCAGGACACACTGGAGGGACTATGTCTCTCAGCTGGCCTGGGAACACCTTGGGATTCCCCTGGATGAGCTGGTCCAAGTGGCTGGAGAGAGGGAAGTCTGGGTGTCTCTGCTTAGGCTGCTGCCCCCGAGACCTGACCCCGGATAAGTGGAAGAAGATGGATGGATGGATAGATGGATGGATGATGGATGGATGGATGGATGGATGATGGATGTGTGTATGGATGGATGGATGGATGGATGGATAATGTATGTGTATGGATGGATGAATGGATGGATGGATGATGTATGTGTGTATGGATGGATGGATGGATGGATGGATGGATGGATGGATGGATGGATGTGTATGGATGGATGAATGGATGGATGGATGATGTATGTGTGTATGGATGGATGGATGGATGGATAATGTATGTGTGTATGGATGGATGGATGGATGATGGATGGATGGATGGATGGATGATGTATGTGTGTGTGGATGGATGGATGGATGGATGGATGATGTATGTGTGTATGGATGGATGGATGGATGGATGGATGGATGATGTATGTGTGAATGGATGGATGGATGGATGG